AACGTAATAATTCAATAAAAATAAACATTAACCATAACCAGTGACAGGGCTCAAAGAGTTGTGAGTTCAATACCTGGTTAAGGCAGTGGAGAACTTGGAGAGGTGAATTAAGCAGGAGATAACTGATAACTGACATCCATTAGACATGGCACATGGAAGTAGAACAGTCTATCCCAGCGAGCGAAATAAAGGGTTCAGTTCGACATTCCAACCACCTGAAGAAAGCCGGTGCGTACAACGGCCGAAACGTTGTGATAAATATGGCGACAAAGATGAGGACAATAGTCCGAATAGTGTAAATAGTGTACATGATACCTCATCTTAGAAATATAGACAGATACTAACTACAGATCGTAGGTCACTTTTTAGATTAACTACCAATTTGAGCTCCTGATAACTGTATTAATTAGAAAACAATTATTCATTAAGTAGTTATGATGAAATACACAATTTAAAATATCCTCCCAGTGTATAATCCCTTTCCTGTCCCAGTTAACTACAAATTGTAGGTCATTTTCTTTTGATCTGCTAATAATTTGATCAGCTGCTAATTTGATCTTAACGAACCTATCCGACTTGCTATTAAGTCATGATCCAATAGCTGTGTCATCGGCATAAATAGCGAATTGCGGACAGAGAGAATCTTGAAGGATATATATATAAAGGCATTTTCAAAAATTTAACCGTTGCTCTGTTAAACTTTCTTTTGGTAGTTTTCCAAAAAAATGACTCCTTCAACATTTGCCTAAATGGAATCTGTTCGGGAAAAATGATCCGTATTTTGCGTGATTCAAAAGCTGTTATTTACAAAGAATTGCTGGAACCTGGACAAATCTTTATTATACAACGTTTCAATTGAGAATGTGGCTCGTTCGATCAACGTATTGGAAAACATCTGTGAGATATAAATGCATACGTATCTTTTCTTATTCATATGGGATATGTTCCAATACCAAAACGGATATTTGAAACTGCTGATATTAAGGAATACCATTTATACTATATTATTTCTTATACCCTCATATCTACGATAAACTTTAACTCATATACAGGGGCATACAAAAGTAGCCATACAATAAGTATTATACCTGTATTGGTATGTTCATATAATACAGTATAATACGTTTTGTCTCTACTTCTACTTTCCCCACACCCCACCTGTATAAGGCACCATAAGAGATTAACAAAAGTAACTAATAATAATATTTACTAATTTAGACTATGTAAGCAGAACGGGTCAAAGGTTGGAATCACGGATCAACCAACATGTATCAGCCAATATATACAAGGGGGGATGTGCACTTTTTCATAGGTTCGTAAATGCAACAGGTTTAAAAGCTAGCAGTGTGTCTGCTCTTTTAGCCTATGCATGTTCTCCGTGTTAAGAAAGACGAATTTCGAATACCATTTGAAAGTAAGGTTTAAAATGAATTTTACAAAATGAAAGAGCTGTCTTGAAGCTTTCATTTTAGCTTTAATTGAAACCTAAAGGATTTAAAATTTGCTATTTTAGAGTAAACAAAATACACTGTGCTGTATTTCAAACAGAATATATATTGATTGGAATCGATTTTTTAAAAATAAAATCAATCAAAATGGACATTTTAAACACATTTGTAAACAAAAGTTAATTCTCGGTTTTAAAATCTTGAAAAAATAAAATATATATTTTATTTTTTGCAAGATTTCTGAATTGTTATTTGAGAAGAATTAGAAAATTTAAAGTCAAATTAATCTGATTTTAAACAAATACTACTTATAGCTTAAAATGTTGTATATAAACATTTCTTAACTAGGGTCTTGTTTTTCTGACGTGATGAGCTATTTATTGATAGCCGAATGTATTCATAGTTAAGTATGGTGGAGAAGACAATAAATTTTATTAAGATGGACAATCCTTAAATTATGTGACATTTTCATGATAGATTTATCGATTTGTACATCCGTATTTCAGAAATTCTGCACGTAATCACAATTACAAAAAACAAATCGGAATTCTTTTAAAAATATTCGGGGTCGTCAGATTGTAATAATCTTTACAAGATATGAGTAGTAAATACAGATTAACTTAACAATATCACTTAGAAAATGAATTTTAAGAGATTTAAAAACTTTATAAATTAATAAATTTAACACTGTAAAAAAATAAAAACAAATCCTGTAAAAATTCATTTTTCGTCGATTTTTTTTTCTTCAGACAATATTTTCTTCAGACTATATTTAACATATAGCACTCATTAAACTAATAAAAGCTTCGCTAATTAAAGAATGTCTTAGTTTTATTACGTTTTTTTAAATTTTAATTCAGAACAGATTTTCGGTTAGAGAGGTTTCAATTTTGCAATAAAAATTATATATATATATATATATATATATATATATATATATATATTATTTATTTGTGCATATTTTTCCTCTATCTGATGATAAAGGAGATAAAGGAGAAATAAACCGGTTAAGAAAGCGAACGTGCTAAACACTCGGCCACGTGAAAAGACAG